AAATTCATTTTCAGTCCTATTTTAGAAGATTCGGTATGTAGTTCTACAAGCATGGTTTGCATTTCTTGTAGGTCAGTAGCTATCAGGATTATGTCATCTGCAAATCGTAGATTACTGAGGTAGCGGCCATTGATGTTTATTCCCTTATATTTCCAATTTAGGTTTTTAAAAAACGTCCTCCAAAACTAAGGTGAACAGTTTGGGTGATAAAGTATATCCCTGTTTGACTCCCTGTTTAATGGTACAGGGTTAGTGTGTTCATTTTCATTTAGGTAGTATGTAGCTGTAGCTTGGTTCATAGTTTCATTTATTAAGTTAATATATCTGCTGTCTATTCTACAATTTTGCATTGCGTTTATTACGGCCGTGTGTTCTATGGTATCGAAAGCTTTTTCGTAGTCTACAAATGCTAGGAAAACTGGAAACTTGTATTCGTTACATTTTTCTATTAATATTTTTGTGGTTAACAGGTGATCGGAAGTTGAATAGCTTTTTCTATTCTATATTTTGAGTGTTATATGAGATTATGTATACAATAAAATAATTTTTCGAAATCTATTTTTGGTGTTGCCAGATACCGGGTTGAAGAAGTAACGAGGTTATAAATTTGTTTTTGTTCTCACCATAGCAATTGTCGCAGTAAAATACAACAGGAAGGGCTTTGGGGCATTCATTTTTAAGAAATGAATATAACCATTATCCTATCTCATTAGATCCATAGTTACCTTCTCCTTAGTGCCAAACGCAGCAGAAACCATTCAATAATCCTATGTAAAATATAGTAAAGTTATACATACTTAACTTTGATTTACAGTTAAAGGAGTTGATGTCCTTACAAGGTGTGTGGAGAACTGCCTGTAAATCAAAAAATACCGTAATACACTCACATGCTTTGCTTCTTTGCTTATCTTTATCTTTTTTAATATGTGACAGATCTTCTTTTAAATGAAGATCACAATTTTTATGTAAATTGTCCTTACCCTTTGCATTTTTATACTCTGCACACATACCGAACTGATCTTTCTTAGGTTGGAAAAATGAGATTAAATTCATTCCTAAAAATTCTTGAGAACATGGTGACATTCCCATAACTTTTATTTTCTTCCATAAAAATTGTTTTATCATCTCTATAGATTGTCAGCTATTTACTGATAGCTGTCTCTATAGATATATTTTGACTGATCAGTTATTCTTCTGTAACAAATTCACAAAAGACACATTTTTAATAAACAGAAAATACACCACAATGTGGCTTTAAGAATAATGTGACAGTGTTGTTGTCAAGACAAATAATAGTCGTATAGCACACTTAATTTGAAAAAAATATATCTAAAGATTACTTCCACACTGTCATAAGTGAGCTGTTACACTATTGCTGAATAGAGTTCTACAAAAGTAGTTATAGCTATAATAGACATAAGTCGCCATCTAGCGCTTGTATGACAAAATATCTTTTCGACAGTAATGCTAACGAAACAAAATACCCATTTTTACAACAAAAATAAAAATCACTGAATTTCGACTTGTGACAGTGTTGTTGCTGATGTGCGACCTAGATCTTCTAGAAGTGTTCCTCGTGTCTTGTTGTTTTTTATAGTTATTGATTGAAAATGAAACATTCATATAATATGCGCATTATTGTTAGTGTCGTATTACATGTTTCACATCGCTGCGGTTCGCACTTTTTAATTCAGTAATTATGCGTTAATCTAATATGTCCAATAACCCCCTCTGTGGCTCAGTGGTAAGAGCGCCTACCTTTAAACCTAAAGGTCGTGAGTTCAAATCTCATCTGGGTGGAAAAATTTTGTTTATTAAAAATTACTGAATGAAAATAATTTCTATCCTTATGCGATCGGTACTCATCGGAGGGACCTCAGACGTTCGGATATAATTAGCGTCTCTTAGCAAAGACAATGACGTCGACTTTGCTAAGTATCAAGACAATTACTCTACACACACACTACACTAGTTACCTGACTGTACCATGCGAATGATCATAATTGTCGAGGCATTAACTCAATAATAATAATAATATGTTCAAGTCTGAGGCGCGTTAGTATTATTTCTTGGCTTCTTGACGTAGGTAACACATTCCATGTCTTTATGCTGGGTTTCACTTGTTTTAGTTTTGAATTCGACACATTTCATTTATTTTTTCATGCACTTAAGATTGATTTTTTTTTATAATTATAAGCTTTTATACGAGCTTTTATACTTTTATATAGTTTACGATTTCGGAAACGTTACTCACTATCGCGTCTTTCGCACTATGATCAACAGTTTCGTTGCCTTTTATTCCTATATGGGATGGGATACAGATAAAATTTATCTCATTATGATTGATATAAGCCTAAAGATGGAACATTTTAATTTTTTTTAAAGCTGGTTTTTTGGCTACAGTTGTTGGATGGTTTGTATGGCACTAAGTGAGTCTGCTAAGATAATATATTTGCAGTTTGTTTGCAGTTTTGATAAAGAGAGAAGGATTCATGTACACTGCTTTCTAGGTCTATAATATTGTCTAGAGTTGAACTATTTTTTCGGAAACCACCTTGTTCTGAAATAAAATATTTCGATCTTCATGTGTCCAGAGGAGACAACGTTTGACCATTTTTTCTAATAGTTTTCATGCAGTACATATTAGTGCAATTGGTGTATAAGACAATAAGGATCTATTTTGGGGCATTTTGGTTTTAATATTGGTATTATAATAGAATCTTTCCATGCTGTTGGAAATTTCCGTTCTATCCAAATGTTATTAAATATGTTACGAAGGTTATTGTGTGCATTCTGAGGTAAATACTTAAGAAAAACCATTAGGATATTATCTGGACCCTCACTAGTCTCTTTAAATGGGTTTAGTGCATCTTTGTACTCATTTATATTAAATTCGGAGATCAAAGCATCTGTGTCATCTACAAACGGTATAATTGCATTGCATTCTTCGTTCTGTTTAAAATTATTATTATAGTTCCTTGTATTAGATCTATTTTTATATGTACTACCAAATTCTTCTGCTATTTCTAGTTTATCTGTAATTATTCTATTATCTTTCTTTAGTTGATTGATTTTGTTATAAGCCAGTATTCCAGATATTTTTTTGACATTCTTCCACATTTCAGACGTAGGAGTCCTACTGTTTATATTGGGCACAAATTGAGCCCACGAATTTCTTTTGAAGTTTTTATTGTAAAATATGCTTTAGCTTTAAGTTTTTGAAATTATACTTTATTGTTAAGTGTTTTATGTCTTTTGTATTTGTTAAAGGCTTTTTTTGGAAGCTTCGATCGATGTCTTACATTGTTCATTCCACCAAGGAACTGGTTTATATTTTCTAACAAGTGCAGTTTTTTAATGGTTACCTCGACTGCATCTGAGATGAGGCTGAAGAAGGTTTCGATGTCTGTGTCAATATTGTTGGATAGTTTACAGTTTGTGACATGTTTTTCTATGAAACTTTCAAATAATGTCCAATTTACTTCCTTCATTTTCCACTTAGCAGTGTGTTTTCTATTATGGGGCTTGAGCAAGTTATTGGTGATTATTATTGGATATGGAACTTTGTAATTTACCATTTAGTAAATTAGTTTTATTTTGTTTTTTATTTTTTAGTTTATTATTTGTCAAGTCAGTTTTATATAACTAATAATCTACGTCGGTTGCATCTTAATTTAATTTGAGTCTCTCACTATTCTCTACACGTGTTTCTGGGTCTACACGTCATTAGAGAGAGTTTGCAAGAAGACTCAAACCAAATCAAAACGCACCGACTACTAAGGCAATTTTAGGAAAATAATCAACAGAGAAATTTCTGTAAGTGGTATACTATAATTCACTTTTTAGGTATTCAAAAAATTTTTTTGTCGATTAGCCAATTAATTTGCCTTTTGTTCCACAATTTTTTCAGAAAATTGCATTTAAGTGGTAGGACGCGTTAACCAAAACGACAAGGTTTTCTTTATATTTTGGCAAGTTTGGAATCAATGTCTTCTCAAACCATTCTTTATATAGATCTTCATTCATTTCGTCGCGGTAACCAGCGATTCCCTTCTTGGTTAGAAAGGTTAATTAGGCCCATGCCACAAAACCTATTTTGCTTTCTGCATAAAGAAGAACAAATCGAGAACATCTTTAGGGTGGAGCTTTCAGTCCACTTTTATGAAGGCATTTTTGTCTGAAGCACCGATGTTAGTTTACGACTGACCGGTATAAACAAGGTTTACATTATCCTTTCTCTTCAATGTTTTTATTTGTCTGAGGTATTTGTATCTCCTGGATATAATATCTTTTCTTTCCTTCATCATTATCGAGTTTCGACCTCTTTTACCATATTCAAATCCCATGTCATTTAGTGGCCTTTAAAATGTGATTTTTGGAAAAGCTGGTATATTCTCGTCATCATTTCACTCTATTTTCCAATTTCCCTTATTCGAGATTCCATTCCCTTATCGTAAGTATTCTCACGTGAATTGGACTGGAAACTGTTTTTCTTTCTTTTTTGTACCTGTTTCAATTCTCCGTGCTGAGCCTATTCGTGGATGGGATGTTATTACATATTAGTTGTAGTGCATTAGGTAATATATAAAATAAGAGTAAGCCATAGGGTAAGCCTTTATATTTAAGTATTAGCTGTTTATTAAGTTAGGTCAGAAAATAACTGATAATTGGTTTGAGACCAAATAGCTGTATACAAACACCTTACAGGTGTTATACAAAAAAATATATAGTGCCGACTTAATCGGACACCCTTTATATACATACAGGGTGTCCAATGTATTATTATGTTATCTGTATTATTGTAAAGACTTACACAAAAAAAAAATCATACCGTAAACTACTAATACAGTAGGTAATTGAAAGAGAGAATAAAAAAAATATTTAATAAAACGAAAATGTCTTATTTTATTTTTGTTTATTTTTAATAAAGATTCTTAAAATATAACAGCAACAAATACCAATACATTCGGAGAATCGGTTGACCTGACAGCGGCAGATTATCAGTTGCATTCGCAGTTCTTGTCCGGAGTGCATCCGCCTCCCGCCTTCCCTTGCAGCTTGCACAAATTGGCACAAAGTGCTTCACCCACGTTTAAATCCAACACTTGAATGGGGTTGAGAATGTCACAAGCCAATCTCTTTGCCCGGCTATGATCTGGAACAAGACGGTGGTGGTGAGAGAAAAAAGGAGTTATGTGTCACTTGTAATACGAGAGATGTTTCTGGATGTATTGTATAAAAACTATATAAAAACGTTAATACGATTTTGGTACATTAACTGACATTTCTTGCTCCTGTCTTTAAAGATGATAACAATAATTATATATTAATTACTATTTAACTGGGAATAAGCCACAATTAAAGATAAAAATACGTTTATTGACGTTTCAATTTCCACTTCGGAAATCGTTCTCAAAATACAAACAGTAAATTAAATAAATTTAGTTTTTTGTTACATAGTGACAAATTCTTTTAATAATTTAATTTTATCTGACTCATTTATATTGACAATTCAGACATACATTATGCATTTTAAAGTAGACGACTTTAAAATGATATTGCCAATATTGTTGAGTTGCGCTCCTGGGACGACTTTACTTATAAGATAGTTCATTCGATTACATAAAATCAACTTTAACTTGAGAATATCCGTCTGAAAAAATCATAGCATGTAATTCGTCTTTAAAAAGACAAACACATGACATGATGACAGTAAAATTCTCCTGTTAGTGATTCCATAGTAAATTATGAGGAAAAAACCAGGAAAAAACCTCATAATACTATCCCGACATTGTAAGTATTTGTTCGTGAATTTAGTTTACCTTTAAGAAATATCAAAATTCCGATTTTATATGTTACGTTATTTAAAAAACATAAATGATGTATTCTCTATATGTTACTAATACTGGACTTACTAATACTGGTATTTTCTTATTAATAACTTCCTCTTTCAATATTGGTAACCAGATCCTACTAAATTCTGCCTAGGAATTTGCGACACAATTGGCCTCATTTAGCATAATTAGAGCCGCTTCTTTGATTTTTCTTTTTTTTACCATCCGTTTCTTTTAGGACTACATTTGAATTATTCCATTGAACCCTATGTTCATTATCCCATGCGTGTTTACACATTTATATACAATATAAATGAGTCAGATAAAATTAAATTATTTGAAGAATTTTTCACTATGTAACAAAAAACAATATTTGTTTAATTTACTGTTTGTATTTTGAGAACGATTTCCGAAGTGGAAATTGAAACGTCAATAAACGTATTTTTATCTTTAATTGTGGCTTATTCCCAGTTAAATGGTAATTAATATACAATGCCACAAGAAAATAGCTTTAGAACAATATTAATTATATAAAAAAGATAGACTAAGCGGTTTGTGTTTTGGGGTAGGTAAATCAGGTATGATCCTTTATTATTTGCTTTAGTCGCTTAATAATATTAGAAATGAGACTTTTATTTTGCGGTAACTTTAAAAGATAGGCTTATTTTTTTATTAAATAATTTGTGAAAAAAAAATTGAAAAATTCAATTTTTTTCTTCTTTTTATTATTATATCTTGGCAGCTATGCTATATTTCATAAAAAAAATTGTAAAAACAAAAAAGATTTTCAATTTAGTTACCTACAAGAGAAAATTGATTTCAAATTAAAAGAATAATTAATATTATTGCAAAATTAGTGAAAATCGTTAAAATTGGGGCAAAAATCAATTTTTTTAATACTTTTCTTCAGGAATTTAAAATCCACATATAACAACCTTTAAAATATATCCAGAAAATCTTTTTAATGTAAAAAAAAAAACAAAAACCAAATTTTAGCACAATCATTTAAGTAGTTGTTGCAAAATGCCTTCGCAATTTTAATTAAAAAAAAATATATTAAATTTAAAAATTATGCAGAGTCTAAAATAGTCTGTCAATATATTCTTTTTTTACAAGCCATTAAGTATAGATATAAAATCAAGTATAGTGCAGTGATTGAACTTTTCTTTTAGAAATTTTCAAGTAAATGGAGTTTATGAATCAATGTTGAAAGTGTATAAGAACCTTCAACCTTAATTAATATAGTAGAAAGATGGGTTGATAAATTTAAACTTGGTCATAGAAGCCTTGGAGACAATTCACGTTTAAAAACACAATATATCGAAGAAAAAATACAGGATATTGTATTGGAAAATCCTCAAGTGACTAAAAGAGAATTCACAAAATTCCTAGGCATCTTATTGGACAGTGTAAGTAATATTTTATTACTTGCACATTAACATTAGGTTGTCTTGGACCATAAGGACATACAGACTGTAGGTCCTTATGGTCTAGGGCAAACTAATGATCGAGGACAGAGATTGTATAGATTTTGTAAAGAAAACGATATGATCATTGCAAACACCTGGTATAAACTATCCAAGCAACGACCATACACTTGGAAAGCCCCATTGGAAGATGGCAGTAACCCTGGGTCCTCAAGCAATCAAATAGACTATATACTTGTAAATGAGCGTTTCCGAAATGCCGTTAAAAAAGTCACTACATTTCCTGAGGCAGATATTGGATATGATCATCAAACACTCGTAGCAGATATTAAACTAAAGTTAAAACGAATTCAGCGATAAAAACCAAAAACCAAATGTACTTAACTTTGACGATATAATCATACATTATAACACAAAAAAAAAGAATCTAATAATATAATAAAAAACATCGGAGAACAACTAGAAGATTGCCGTACCGGACTAAGTGGTATGCTGGATAAATGATTGTAAATACCACTTCCGTACGCTCTGTTGTTCGATTTCTTCCTAAAAAGGACGAAATCTATTTATTGTACAACAACAATAGGTAAATAAAACATGAAGGTTGCAATTGAAAAGAGACTCAGCCTCAGAGTCTAAGAAAACTGGAGCATCACCCCTTGAGCGAAGTGCTCTAGGAGAGCCCGTGAAGGGCCGACTTCGACTGACCTGAGACCTGAAATAATCCCATATTTAAAGACAATTTAATATTTTTATGGGATTTTCGGACCTCTCGTCCGGAAAGCTCACATGGAAGCAACACATTAACGCCATAAAATCTTAGCTTAATATAAAATTAAAACAAATAAATTGGTTACTTGTCAGAACAACTGTCATTGAAGAAGAAAATACTGTTTTACAACGTCATACTAAAACCAATATGGGTTTACGGCTTAAAACCCTAGAGCTGTAGCAAGCCTTCGAACACAAACTTTGCAGACCTTCCAATCAAAAACACTTCCAACCAAAAGCATAATAGCTAACGCCTTTAACTGCCAAATTATCAGTGAATTATATCAGCCACCAATACAGAAACAAATACTTAAGAGGACTTGGCCAGAACACCTGGTTACATAGGTGAAAATAGAGAACTGTCGCTGGGCAGTATTCAAATTAAGTCAATATTGTCATCACAGTTACTAAATACTCAATGTACTGTTTATGAGTAGATTGTAAATATTCTTCTTCTTCTTCAGCCTTCATTTATCCATTGTTGGATATAGGCCTCCTCCAATTGCTTCCACGCTTCCCTATCTTTTGCAATTCTCATTCGCTGCTTTCCAGCTACAGCTGTTAACATCGTCTATCCATCCTCTTTTTGGGTCTTTTTACGCTTCTTTTCGTTTTTTGAGGTCTCCAGAATGTCACTTTATGAGACCATCTGTTGGTGTCTTGTCTTGCTACATGTGCTACCCATTGCCATCTCAATGTCGCTATTTTTCCCATGACGTCGGTTACTTTAGTTCTTCGACATGTTTCGGTGTCAGGAATTTTATCTCTAAGGCTTATATTTAACATGATCCTCTCCATAACCCGTTGAGTTACTCTTAATTGCTCAGAACAATTAAGATTGTAAATATGCGTTTAAAAATAAACAAAATAATGAAAAAACAAAGATAAAAACATAAAGAAAATGTCAAAATCATAACTACAAATAAAAAAAATATGTAAAAAACAAAACATAACTGAATATAAAAATCAGAAAAGTTTTTTCAAAAAATTTGTTTAACACAACGTTTAAAATCGCGTAAAAAAGTCAGCAGAAAAACATTAAACAAATCAATTATTCTTATTTAACAAAAATAAAAACAGTTCTTTGACTACTTACCTTCTATATTCTCTACTCCACTAAGACTGGGAGTCGGCGTGCCAAAAACTTGAAAAATGATAGCCATTACCATTAACAATACACCAAAAAATTTCATTTTAATACTTTTTTATGTATAAATTTGATTGAAACAGTTAAATCAATACCAAGAGACTGATACCTCTGTGCTTTTCTGCCGAATCCATCAGCTTTTATACAACTAAATATTGGATTTGTGCGTGCAGATAATAATTTTGGAATTATGTAAATTTGAAGACCCAACCGTTTAATTTTTATTTAATTCGAATAAAATACAAATATGAATCCGAAATTTATAGCGATTATTAAACTGTAACGAGGTATTATGTTGATGTGATTATGATTTTTAATATAATGAAGTCGTTCATGTATCTTACAATTAGTTGGGTAATTGAGGCTTGTTCAAGAGGGAATTTTATGATGTGTATTGTATTTTTTCAACAATATATTGGTAAAAAATGTAACATAATAGCAAAATATTGTAATTATGTGTTTAGTTATTTAATAATAGTTTTAGAAATTAATATTAATTTTGATAATTTTGAAATATCAAAAAAACGTGGTCAAAATTCAGTTTAGTAGGTGTAGTATATGTACTTGTGGTTGGTATTGTAATGTCTTTTTGTTACATAATTTTTATATTAAAAAAATTTATATTTTTTTTTACCATTTTCTTCTTTATTTTATTAAAAATTATAATAGTTTATATCAATAACCGCCAAATGTTCGTTATCGTGAGGTTTCTTAATGTCTTATTTCTTGTACCAGGTTTCTTACTTTTTGGAGCCATGGGTTTAGAGAGCATTGGAGCATTTAAAAAAGCAGGATATCCTGCTTATCCTGCATACCAAAGAAATGGCTCTCCTCTACTTTTGTCAAAATCCCGAAGACACATAACGCCAAATAGTGTTCAGACCACAGAACTATAGCATTGATTAGCCACACACTAGAAGTATTTTTAAAAATAATTCACAAAAGAATATTTAATAAATTAGAAGAGGACATCAGCGCTACACAGTTTGGATTTAGAGGTGGACTGGGAACACGGGAAGCTTTGTTTGGTCTGAGTATATTATTGTAAAGATGTTTGGATGTAAACCAAGACCTCTGCGTAGGTTTCATAAATTTTGAGCAGGCCTTTGATACAGTCTGACACCAAAAGTTGTATGAGATCCTAAGAAGCAAAAACATCGACAGTCGCGACATTAACATCATATCCAGGTTGGACTGGGGACAAACAGCAAAAATCAAAGTTGATAATGAGTTAACCGAAGAAATTGAGATTCGGCGAGGTGTGCTTCAGGGTTGTGTGCTTTCTCCACTATTATTCAATATATATAGCGAAACAATATGTTAGGAAGCGCTCCTAGAGCAAAACAATGATATGAACATTAACGGAGAGTTAATTAACAATATACGATACGCTGATGACACGATAATGGTAACAGATCTTCTTCTTCCTATGCCGTCCCCATTAACGGAGGTTGGCGACCACATTTTTAAAAGCTTCTCTGTCTTTTGCAACGTGGAATAATTCGTCTACAGTCATGTTTGTCCAGTCTCGAATATTTCGCAGCCATGACTTCCTCTTTCTACCTATTCCCTTTTTCCCATCGACTCTACCCTGCATGATGACCTGCAGAAGACTATATTTATTATTTCTTAGTATGTGTCCAAGGTATGCAGTCTTGCGTACTTTTATCGTTCTCAACAATTTTTTGACTCGACCCATTCTTCTCAGCATTTCCTCATTGGTGACCCTGGCAGTCCATGGGATTCTCAACATTCTCCGGTATATCCAAAGTTCAAAGGCTTTAATCTTTTTAACTATTTGCGCTTTTAGTGTCCATGTTTCTACCCCGTACAATAATTGCGATTAGACGTAACATTCAACAAACCTCAGTCTCAGCGCAATATTCAGATTTTTGTCACAGAACAATTGTTTGAATTTTAAGAACGCTGCCCTTGCCATTTCTATTCGTACCCTGGATCTCTTAGTCTGGATCTAATTCTGTGTTGATGTAAGCTCCCAGATATTTATATTGTGTCACTCTCTCTATTTGCTGTCCACCAAGAGTTAGTTGTTCATTATTTATTAGACTCCTTGATACTATCATAAATTTGGTCTTATCTGTGTTGATGTCAAGTCCCATTTGAATGCATTCACTATTTATTGCATCTAGTAAAGTTTGTAGATCTTCTATACTCTCAGCCATAATTACCGTGTCATCTGCAAATCTCATGGTGTTTATGATTTCTCCACCAATTTTTATTCCCTCTTTTCTTTCCCATAAGGCTTTTCTGAATATGACCTGTGAGTACACATTGAAAAGCGTTGGAGACAAGACGCATCCTTGCCTAACCCCTCTCGCAATCGGTATATTTATTTGTTCCTATATCGTTCACCTTTACTACTGCTTTCTGGTTCCAGTATATAGCCTTAATAAACTCAATGTCTTTTTTGTCTAAATTGATGTTTTTAATTCATCTATTAACTTAATGACTGCTCTGAAGAAATCAGAACCAGAATAGAGAAAGCTAGAGCCACATTTACTAAATTGAAAAAGGTGTTCTGCGGAAGAGATCTAAGTCTAAAACTTAAAATTCGCCTTTTGAGATGTTACGTTATGTCAGTTCTCCTCTACGGGATGGAAACATGGACATTGAAAAAGATCGATACCAAAAAGATAGAAGCATTTGAGTTGTGGATGTATCGTAGAATATTAAAAATACCCTGGACAGAGAAAGTAACAAATGTGGAGGTTTTGCGGAGAGTGCGGAAAGAGAAAGAGCTTATACTTACTGTTAAAAAGCGCAAACTACAATATTTGGGACATGTTATGAGGGGAGATAAATACCAGTTGCTGCAATTGATTATACAGGTTAAGATAATGGGAAAGAGATCTATAGGAAAAAGAAGGCATTCATGGTTGAAAAACTTGAGAGAATGGTACAATTGCACCAATTACCAACTGTTTAGATCTGCAGCATCAAAAATACGCATAGCTTTGATGATAGCCAAACTTCGGAACGAAGACGGGCACTTGAAGAAGAAGATTAACTTCATATGCTGCACTCGGTCAAAGGCCTTCCTAAAGTCTATGAAGCATACATATGCACTCTTGTTATATTCCCGACATTTCTGCAAGAGTACCGTCAACGCAAATAATGCCTCTCTTGTACATATCGATTTAAGCCATTCTTCCGGGATGTTGCCCTCTATATGTGGTTGAGAATTCGGGTGAGTCTCTTTATATTACCGTCGTCTAAGGCTTTTAACAGTTGAACTGGAATTTGATCAGGACCCGGTGCTTTTCCTTGTTTGGCATTCTGTAGGGCATTCTTTACTTCTGAGGGTAAAATTTGTAGGTATTGTTTTTCTTCACCTATATCTTGTTCATTTTCTCTCTCGTCATGAAAAAGATGAATTATATATTGTTCCCATACTTCCTTTATTTTGCTCTCTTTAGTAAGTATTTATTATCTCTCCATTATTATCTCTTGTTATGAGTGTTCTTCTTTGTCTGGTGTTGCCTGTAAGTTCTTAATTTTTTTATGTAAGTTTAAGGTGTCATGTTTGTTGCTGAGTTCTTCCAATTCCTGGCATTCTTTGTTCAGCCATTCCTCCTTAACCTTTCTGATTTCATATTTGATTTTATTCTTGATGGTTTTATATTTATTTTCATCTTTATTTTTGTATTTTTTTTTCAGTTATTAGCTCAACTATTTCCGGTGTCATCCAGTCTTTTTTAGTTATTTTCTCTTCTTTGCCTAGGACCTCCTTTCCCGCTTTTAGTATGGCTTTTTTCATATCTGCCCATTCAACGCTTCCTTCAGTTAATTTATTTATCTCTGCGTTTAGTTGCTGTTGGCAGTTGTCGTCTTTTAGGTTTTTGATGTTAATTTTGGTGGTTTTTAACTTTTTCTCCGGTTTCCTGAGTTTAATGTTGACGTTTGCTAGTAATAGATTATGATCCGTATCTGCATCTGCGCTTGGATAGGTTTTTGCACTTTGTACTCCATTACCAAACCTTTTGTTAATCGTTATAAAATCTATTTGGTTTCTGATTATATTGTTGGTGTTATCTTTTGGAGAAGTCCACGTGTATAATCTTTGTAGGGGTAGGTCGTAGTATTTATTTGTTATGACTAATTCTTTCTCCTGGCAGTACTGGACTAGTCTGTCTCCTCTTTAGTTTCTTTTACCTAACCCAAAATTTCCTACTACATTTCCAGTTTTTCCTCGACCGACTTTAGCATTAAAGTCGCCCATAATTATTTTTACCTCCTGCTTCTTTATGTTTTTTGTTAACAGTTCTAAGTCCGCGTAGAATTTTTCGACCTCAGCATCATTGCTATCAGATGTTGGAGCATACACTTGGATTAGATTTATGTTTAGAGGTTTGGCTTTCAGCTGAAGTAGCATCATACGTTCGTTAAAGGGAATGAAATTTGTCACAAAATCTTTTAAGTTATTGTTGATAATAATACCAACACCATAGCTGTGTTCTCCAGTGCTTTTGCCTAAGTAGAAAATAGTATTATTATTATTATAATATTAGTATTATTATTATTATATAAACCCGACGCCGGGCACTCGGGGCCACTGTTTGATTTACGTCCATTTGTGGTTGTTCTTGAGAATCCTTAGGGATCTTTAATGCAGTGGTTTCTCCTTGCTTTCTGCATCCTTATGCCGTTGATCTTGGTTCATCATATGGTAACAGATAACCTAGTAAATCTACAGTTTTTGATGGAAAACATAAACTCCCATACCAATAAGTATGGTCCAAAGCTGAACATCAAAGATACTAAATTCGTGATTGTATCAAAGAATATTGTTCTGATTCTATTTTGTTGTGGCATTTTAAAACTAATTACTATTAAACTGGGAATAAGCCACAATTAAAGATAAAAATACGTTTATTGACGTTTCAATTTCTATTTCGGAAATCTCGAGAATCTCGAGAAAACAAATTAAATAGCTTTTAAACTATTTGACCGATCGGTGGGAAATTTCACACAAATTGAAAAGACGGTTATTCCTCGATGTTCAAATGTAATAATAACATGTTATTT